CTCCATCCTCTTTGCAGCCCCCTGCAGGGAGGTGAAGGCGGCTATTCAATCCCCCTCAGTCTTCTCTTCCCCAGACTAAATGATTTCCTCCTTCTCTCATCTCTCAACATCTTCAGGTTCAAGCCGAAATAAAGAAGTCATGGAGCAGATGGACATTAGCACTTGACTTTAAAAGGAAAGCACGGAGTGGGAGCACAACATATAGCTATGGACCCATGGTCTCCCATACCAGCATCACGAACGTAACTACCAGAGGGGCACTTGCCCTCCACCTCAATACGAGACTTATACCGGGAGCCCTCAATGGACACCGAAATTTGCCGGGCTATGTCAAAAATGGCTCCATTTCAGAAAACTCCATGCCTTCTTCCGGGCCGGAGCAATACAACAAAGACGAGGAGTACCTGAACGGCTCGGGACTTTACGATGGAGACAGGCCTACGGTGCTTGTTGAAGAAGAAAGAGAGACAGTGATGTAAGGATCAGAGAGGAAGACGAAGAACAAGGAGACGAAAGGTTCCCGGAGAGCATTTAGTGGGCAAAAGAAGACCAGGCTGCACATGGGATGCCAAGGGTTTTCATTCAGTTTCTCTGTTCTGTGCAACAGGAGGTCACGTTACATGGAAAAAGCGGGCCAGCAATGTGGCCAGCTGTTGATCACACACATTTGCTCAGTGGTCTCCAAGGTGTTAATGAAGGCAGTGCTGTCCAGACCTGCGGGCCTCGCTACCTGTTGAACAACGGGGGTAGTCAGCGTTTACATGAGGGGTGTACCAACGGCACGCGGTAGTTTCACCTCTCGGAGAGCATTTGAAGCACAAAGATGAAGGGAAACCCAGTCAAAGGAGCGGGCAGCGTGAAGTGCCATCTTCTTGCAGTGGTACGAGAGGCCGGTGGCGTTGCCTTCACCACTTGGCTTGGTTTGGCTGTCTCTTTTATTGTCAAGCCCATCTGTCATATGGTAACACACACAGGACTGGCTGGGTCCCCTGGGCCGTAGCCACTACTTGTAGCGGACTAAGACACAGCACGGACTGTGATGGCATTGGATGTCTGTGTCCGTCCGGGGTCGCTCGGTGCATGTTCCTTCAGGAGCAATCCCACTGCTGATTCCCTGAAGAAGCAGCATGCTTTTTTCTTCTTTGGTAAATGACTCACAACTACTGGATGTCAATGAATATTGGGGGTCCCCTTCTCCTACCTGAGCCCAGGGAGCGAGAGTCAAATTAGTGCAATCAGAGATTTAACATGAACAGGACGTTCTAGCTGGTCCAAGCCTAAAATCAGTCTGTTGACTTGTGAGTGCATTGAGCAGTAGGTCGGAGCAGGAGCTTGATGGTACCTCAGTGTGTGTTTTGGGGGGGGGCATGTAAAACCAGGCCAGAGAAAAGCAAACTCGCCCGTTTCAAGGGAATGTACTTAACTCATTTTCAGTCTCTTTTTTTCCTTCCCATTCTCACTTCCTGCTCCCCGTTGAGTATGGGAAGGCTAACATGTGAGGAGAAGGGCTGTTTTAGCAATATCCCGTTTCAATCAGAGCCGACGAAGGCTGGCATCTGACTCAACATGACGTTTGCAAGCCAGGCCTACAGATAATTCATTGCAGACCTCCAGGTGCATCTCTGAACCTCCAGGATGGGTTGTGGGTTCCCCTTCTAAGGTACACACACACACACATGCATATACACATATGCATGTACTCACAGCGGGCTTGACCCTCAGCTGGTATAAGCATTCATGGGTCCCTTGAGGCTATTGAAACCACCCCAGGGCTCAAACACAGTCGTGTCCCAGCAAGGGGAAAGTGTACGGTTAATAGTGACTGCAGAAAAGGGTTCAGGAATGATTGTGATCCTCTGCAGCTCCCCTTCCTGGTGTATGCTGTGGATGTCCTGGTTTCACCCCAGGCCTCAGCAATGAGCATGCTTTAGCACACGTGATATTGTTCTCTGGCCTATCTGATGTGCTGAGCAGCAATGATATCATGCATTGGCTGCATCTCTGGCTGGAGAAAGCCAGGAGAGCTCCATTGAGCCTGTGCAGCGCTAGCTGAGGGTCTAGCCCGGTATGTCCACCGGTTCCCAAGCATCATTCAAGGACTTTGGGACAGTGACCCCAGCTGGGAACTCCCCAGCCTGCTGGGGGGAAATCTTCCTTGGGCTCCTGTTGTAACAGCCGTTCCTCCTCCCGCACTTTAAAAGCCATAGTCCAGTCCGAGAATAAATGCTTGCAGCATGTCCAGCACAAGAAGCATGTTCATCCCCTATCAATGTGATCCGGCTGCTATTGAAATGTAATCAGAAAGAGCTATTGTGCAAAGGTCGCTGGGGACCCAGACTGGTGCCAATCAGATAATCCACTCTCTATCCTGCTCCTTCTTGGCTAGGCTGGTGAATCCTACCGACCGGCGCCTCGCAGATATACCCAAGTCATTGGAAAGGGACTGCTCCTCTCCAGACACGGTTAGGATGAAGGACGGTCGTCCCAAACCTCAGGTCCTGACTAGGCCCCTGGGAAGAGCAGCTGGTATCTTGATCTGCCTCGAGTGTCCCATACCTGCCTTTCTGCCGCCTCTCAGGTTAGGGCCTGATACAAAGCCCAGTGACGTCAAGCAAAAAGGCTCCTGCCGGCATCACTGAGTTTTGGCTCAGAAACTTGTGGGAGGAGGGTGTCGTGGGGGGGCCAAGAGGGGCCCCGAAGGAACGGCACCCCTATTGCAGGTGAAAAGCAAAGGCAGATTTTGGAAGACAAATATTTATTTTTGGTGTTTGTTTTTGTTTTGTATTGTTATAATTAAGTCGAAATGTTCTTTACCATAGACCACCAAGCGGCAGCTATTGCAATGTCAGGTCTTGAAAGGGTGAATCGTTTTAGTAGCGTGGGATTTTTTTTTTTCTTTTCCTTTAATGATATGCAGAAATTAAGTAATCATGCAAAGAAAAGCGGATTGAGTGAATGTGTGGCATTGAGAGTGAGCCAGCCTCGCAGAAATCTGGGTCAGCCTGAAGCACTCGCTGC